GGGGGGGGGGGGGGGGGGGGGGGGGGTGGAGGGGGGGGGGGGGGGGGGGCTCCTCTGCAGCCCCCTCAGGGTGATGGTGGGGCCCCGGGAGGCCGGGATGCTTCCCAGTGCCTCCCGTGCCTGTCTCTCCTGGCCCGCAGACGTGATGCTGGGGGATTACCGGGGGAACAAAGTCGCCGTGAAGTGCATTAAAAACGATGCCACAGCGCAAGCCTTTCTGGCGGAGGCATCCGTGATGACGTGAGTGTTACCGGGGCGGGGACAACGCAAGGGAGGGGGCAGCTCTGTCCGTACGAGCAGAGGCGGGTGGTCCCCCATGCCCTGCAGGGACCGTGGGAGCCCCCCCCTTCTCCCCAAAACCCTGCCCTGAGCCCTCCTGCGCCGCGCAGGCAGCTCCGACACAGCAACCTGGTGCAGCTCCTGGGGGTGATCGTGGAGGAGAAGAGCGGCCTTTACATCGTCACCGAGTACATGGCCAAGGTGAGACCCCCACCCCGGGCACCTGCCCTCCCGCTCTGCCCTCTTTTGACACCCCCCAGGGTCCCAAGGCTTCACCCTGGCAGAACCAAGCTGGGTCATCCCAGCTTGGGTGACATCTCCCAAGCTGGAGATGGGGCCTGGGGCCACCATGGTGTTTGGGGGTGGCATCGCTGGCTCCGAGGGAGGGACATTATCCCCGGGGTCCTGCCCGGCGTGGGAGGGCGCGGCGGGTGGGATGCTCACCCTGGTGGCACCATCCCTCTCCATCCCTCCAGGGCAGCCTAGTAGACTACCTGCGGTCGCGCGGGCGGTCGGTCCTCGGTGCGGACTGCCTACTGAAGTTCTCCTTGTAAGTATGACAGCAAGGCACCAAAGGTTGGCCGTGCCCACCACCCTGCCCTGCACCCGCCAGCATTTTGGGGCCACCTCGCTAACCCTCTTCTCCTCCCACCCCAACCAGAGACGTCTGTGAAGCCATGGAGTACCTGGAAGCCAACAACTTTGTCCACCGGGACCTGGCGGCGAGGAACGTCCTGGTCTCGGAGGACAACATCGCGAAGGTCAGCGATTTTGGGCTGACCAAGGAAGCCTCCTCCACGCAGGACACGGGGAAGCTGCCGGTGAAGTGGACGGCGCCAGAAGCACTTAGAGAAAAGGTGGGTGAGCGGCGGGGGGGTCCTGGGCTGCGGGGAAGTGGTGGAGGCTGGAGGAAGGGGGCACATCCCGGCCTGCCCTGAATTTTCCACGCAGAGGTGGTGCTTGAGCCCCAGTTCTTGCTGTCTGACCCCCAAAAAACAGCTGCCCTGAGGGTGGGGAAGATCTGTTGCCCCCCCATCCCTGCCTGAGCCCGCTCACGGGGCCTCTCTCTTCCCCTTCCCTGCCCCCCCAAGAAATACTCCACCAAGTCGGATGTATGGAGCTTCGGGATCCTCCTCTGGGAAATCTACTCCTTCGGGCGAGTGCCTTATCCGAGAATCGTAAGTGAGGACCATCCCCCTCCCCTCAGGGCTGGATTTTGGGG